CCCAGCGGTACAGTATTTCCACGTGTAGTTCTTGTTGGAGAGACTATGCAAAGTGCTTCTCTGATAATCATCTTTATGAGGAGGGAAAAAAAACAACTCCACAACCGGCATTTTTTGCGCTCCTTCTCCATCTCCTCCCTGTTTTCTGTGGAGCTGCCTGGTATTGGTTTCTTCAGATGAATGATCATTCACCGCCCTGGAAGAGATCAGAGAATCATAGAATCATAGAATGGCTTTGGTTGGAAGGGACCTTGAAGATCATCCAGTTCCACCCCCCCTGCCCTGGGCAGGGACACCTCCCACCAGCCCAGGTTGCTCCAAGCCCTGTCCAACCTGGCCTTGAACACCTCCAGGGATGGGGCAGCCACAGCTTCTCTGGGCAACCTGTGCCAGTGCGTCACCACCCTCAGAGTGAAAAATTTCTTCCTAATATTTCATCTAATCTCCTCTCTTCCAGTTTAAAACCTTTCCCCCTTGTCCCATCGCTCCCCTCCTTGATCAAGAGTCCCTCCCCAGCTCTCCTGGAGCCCCTTTAGGGACTGGAAGGGGCTCTAAGGTCTCCCCGGAGCCTTCTCTTCTCCAGGCTGAACACCGCCAACAGATGCTCTTGGTAGGGATCAATGAGGATGAAGGGATATTCATGGTGTGTTTTCATGGAGATACCTGTTGTCTCTCCAGCACAGGGCATCATCTGCAGTGGAGGTGTCATATTTACCGGTGAGGATAAATGCACATTTGCACGTTGATGTAGCCATGGAGAGTCCCCACTAGATAGTTGCACTGGAACATCCAGGCAAAGGTCTCTCTGGCTCCAGTTTGGGCTTTTCTCCAAAACTACTGTGTCGTACACTGTGGTGAACGGCAGCATTTGCTCGTGTGTGCTGTGGCCGTGAAGCAGTGGAGCTGCGCTGGTGTTGGGTGATGGCAGTTTGGCTCAGGCTCCGAAGGGGTGGGAGAGACGTGAAGGTGCCGTGCGCACTGCTGGGAGTAGAAGAAGCTGTTGCAGTGCTGAGTTGTTATTGGCATGTACAGGGCATCACCAGGAATAAGACTTACATCTGAGTCTATTTTTCAAGGTAAAGTGTTTAAATACAAACAAAATTACGTTTCCTCATAGCTTACACCTACGTGCAGAGCATTCATTAGTATTAATTGAAAGCTAAGAGCGGAGAAGACGTAAAAGCATATTTTTCTCTCGGCGCTGGTGTTTTCTCCCCGAATCTCACACGATTTGGCCAAGCAGGTAAGACAGCTCGTTTTATTCCTTGGCACGGAGTTCGTCCCAGTCAATAATATTGATTAGCGCAGGGTGACTTGATGTAACGAGAATAACGCCCCTTTCTTAATTTGAGCCTGGATTTCCCGGTTCATGCCTCAGTAGTTCATGCTTGGATGAATTCTTCAATAAGTCAGTTAAGACACAGACCCCACTGGAAATTGCAGGGTCTGACATTAATAGGGGAAATGAATAATTTTCTTTTCCTAGAAGTTGCTCCTCTTCCCCCCCCGATTAAATTGTCACATGGTTCGAGTTCACTTTTTCAAATGCAAAATGAAGTTCCTGAACTGTTTGCGTGTTGAGTTTTTTTTTTTAACAGCTGCCTCTTTCTAATTACAGTGAGTGAAGTTTTATAAACTCTGTTCTGAGCCGCTTCTTTGTGATTCGCGAGTCCCTTATGGTACTGTAGGATCTGTTGAGCTCTGTGTCCTAACAGTGCATTTGGGGAGCTGAGTCAGCATGTGGAAATTCCATGGATGCAGATATCCGGAGTTTGCATGGATTTCCAGCTCCAGTTGTCCCTTTTACTGGGGAATCTACCCCACTGCGGTCAATTCTTGTACAGAACGCTCCTGCATCTGGAGTATTGTGTCCAGTTCTGGACTCCCCAGTTCAAGAAGGACAGGGAACTGCTGGAGAGGGTCCAGCAAAGGGCTACAGAGATGATGAGGAACTGGAGCATCTTTCTTACGAGGAAAGGCTGAGGGACTTGGGGCCTTTTAGTCTGGAGAAGAGAAGACTGAGGGGGGATCTTCTCCGTGCTCATAAATCTTTAAAGGGAGGGTGCCAGGGGGATGGGAATAGTCTTTTTTCAGTGGTGCCCAGTGACAGGGCAAGAGGAGACGGGCACAAACTTGACCATAGGAAGTTCCATGTAAACCTGAGGAGGTACTTCTTTTCTGTGAGGGTGGCAGAGCAGTGGCACAGGCTGCCCAGAGAGGTGGGGGAGTCTCCCACTCTGGAGCCATCCCAAACCCGCCTGGACGCCGTCCTGTGCAACTGCTGGAGGTGCCCCTGCTCTGGCAGGGGGTGGGACTGGGGGAGCTCCAGAGGGCCCTTCCAACCCTCACCAGTCTGGGATTCTGTGACCTTGAGGGACCGTTTAGGGTATGGAAGAACTGGCCTTGGTCACCTGCTTGATCCTTGTGCGTTGCTGTGAGGTTGCTCACAGGAGGGTCAATTAAATCAGTCATCAAAGACCTTTTTTTTTTTTTTTTTTTTTTTCTTGATGTAAATTGGTTGCAGGTAATGGCTTAAAGAACGTAAACTTCACTTTGAAAAGAAGATTGGAGTCACGTACTCATTGGTTGGGTTCCTCCTCCTGCACTTTCTAATTTGGAGACATTCTTCTTCTAGTTTGGAGGCAGGCAGACGTCAGGGTCAAAAAATTCAATAATCTGCTGGTGGTGTTTTGATTTCAAGTACTTTGTCATTTTCCTGCCTATAAAGCTATCGTAATAATGTGATTAGGTTCTGTATTTATTATTATTCAATCATTAAGGAGAGTTCACATGCAAGATGAGAAGGACTTGATAACATTTGGGATATAAAGACTTTGCCCAAGTTCGTATATGGGATTATTTGATGTTTTTAGCCCAAAAAACATACTTGAGGGGGTTACTTGTCAAATGATACCATTAAGATCATGGTCTGCACTTTGTGACAAGGGAGCTCGACCGAAATGCAAGGGATTATGTGCGGAATTGCTGCTGATTTGAAAATGAGATTTTTTTTTTCTAAAGGTGTCCTTTTCTTATGTGTGGGACATCTGGCTTGTTCTTCTAAACATGTTTTCTTCTGGAAGGGTAACAAGTGGACTTTGTTACTGTCAGGAAATTATAGAATGGGTTTCACGAAACTGAGATTTGCCCTCCCCCCTTTTTTCTCTCTTAATATCCTGATTTAAAGTATTTTGGTGTTCGGAGCTGCCTATGGAAGTATCTTTGGTTCTGATGTAATGACTCATAGGTGGGTGTTTTTCATGTTCAAAGTTGTTCAGTCTGGGCCTGAGGTGTATAAATTATGCTCTCTGAGCTTGTGTTTTACTCCCAAGGAGTGGGCCAAACTCAGCAAGTTTATTTTTCACGTAGCTGAGAGCCTGTTTGTAAGCAACTGGAACTCGGGCAACAGAGAATTCTACCGGTAAACGACAAGATTCTGGATAGGACATGGACTCCTGAGAGACCCAATAGTGTTAAATGTAATAAATAAGTTAAAATGTCATGTCACTGGCAATCAAAGTTTAGCTACCTTCCAAGGGATTGAATGGTGGCATCATCAGAGGCGTTGGAGCCTTCCATACAGTAGTATGGAAGCAGCAAAATTCAGTGAAGCGCTGCTCTTAAAAACCTTTCCAAGCATGATGTGCTTCAAAATACATCTCGTCCATGTGGCCAAGGCCTTGGGTGTTTGTTACACAAGGTGAAGGCCCTTGTGCTTTTGAGAAAGGATAATTTAAGTGAGTGCTCGTGTGCAATTTCAGAGCTGTTTCTTTGGGTTTGGGCTGTTCCAAAAGCTGCTGAAGTCACTGAAACTTCAGGCTGGAGGTCCCCAGGACCCCCAGGAAGAAGGACTTGGGGGTGCTGATTGATGAGAAGCTCAATGTGAGCTGGCAATGCACGCTCACAGCCCAGAAAGCCTGCTGTATCCTGGGCTGCGTCAGAAGAAGTGTGGCCACCAGCTCCAGGGAGGTGATTCTGCCCCTCTGCTCTGCTCTGGTGAGACCCCACTTGGAGTACTGCCTCCAGCTCTGGAGCCTCCAACATAGGGTAAACATGGACCTGTTGGAGTGGGGCCAGAGGAGAGCCACGAAGGTGATCCGAGGGCTGGAGCACCTCTCCTATGAGGAGAGGCTGAGAGAGTTGGGGTTGTTCAGCCTGGAGAAGAGAAGGCTCTGGGGAGACCTTGTTGTGGCCTTCCAGTACCTAAAGGGGGCCTACAGGAGAGCTGGGGAAGGACTTTTTACAAGGGTATGTACTGATAGGACATGTCGGAATGGCTATAGACTGGAAGAGGGGAGGTTTAGATTAGATATTAGGAAGAAATTTTTCACTTTGAGAGTGGTGAGGCCCTGGCACAGGTTTCCCAGAGAAGCTGTGTCTGCCCCATCCCTGGAGGTGTTCAAGGCCAGGTTGGATGGGGCTTGGAGCAACCTGGTCTGGTGGGAGGTGTCCCTGCCCATCGCAGGGGGTTGGAACTCAATGATCTTGAAGGTCCCTTCCAACTTAAAACATTCTATGATTCTGTGATTTGTCAGTGGGGTGACACTTCAAAGAACCGTGAGGCTCAAGTCTCTTACTGGTATCTGGAACCTCTGGTCTGTGTGATGGGTATGGTATTAGCACCTCCAGTCCAGTATATTGGACTTCAGCCAACCTGGGAAATTCATCCCATATGGTTGGGAAACTCTTCTGCAGTTGAAACTGGGTCCTGTGCCGTAGGGGACCTGTGCTTCCCAGTCTTCCTGCAATACTGTCGCTAACTGTGGAAAGAGGGGCTTAAAGCGATGTGTAATACTGTCTGTACTGTTCCCAGTGCGTTAGGAGTACAGTCTCTGAGCAGAAGGAAAATAGAAAGAGAAAAAAAATCTTTATGTTAATTACTGATCCTTCACCAGAAATTAAGCATTTACAGACAGACCTAATGTTTAATTATCACTTACTATCTAAAATTCCAGGCGTGTTCAGGCCCGTTAGACACCTTGTTTTGTGTTATTTTCCAGGGGGACCAGATGATAACTTAATTGAAGGTGGCGGATCCAAGTTTGTCTGCAAACCAGGAGCCAGAAACATTACCATCATCTTTCATCCCCTCCTCAGGTAAGTAAAGCTTTTCTACGTATTTCTACAGGTGCAAATAATTAGAATAAATAGAATTAACTTACTGTCTTTATGGGCACACTGCCACTTCTGAGATAACGTCCCACAGCAATGGGTTTGCTGTAAAGGTGTTGATGTGTGCACGTGTTAAAAATAACCACTAGTTGAGCTTGTTGCTGACGCTCTTTAATCTTTTTTTTCAAAATTAACTGGCGCGCCGAGTGGGATGGCATTGCAAGCGGTGTCCCCTTTTTATTGAACGGCGTAATTAGTCATTGACCCAAGTTGGGAAAAATTTAGTTGCCCCCTGTCACCAATTGTTTATGGCTGACTGTCTGTTATGCTTATTAAGAAGTCAGAAGGATACTTTATGAACTGCGAGGTAAGTTCATTCTTCGATAAAAGAAGTATGGACAGACAGAAAACGAAACGCCCGATCTAAAGCGCCGTGCCGATTACTAAAAACTTCACAGCTCATCGAGGACTGCTGGGACTTTAAAACAGAGCAAGTCTATAATAAGCCTCTTCTCACCGAGTCGCTCACCTCTGCTACTTTAATTTTGCTCTTTTTACATTGCAGTCTAACAGTTGGTCTCCTTAGTTTTGCCGGAATTCAATAATAAGGTGTTTTTCTCGGTTTATGTCAGTCTTCCACCTCTGCTTTTTCCTTGTAGGGTTTTCCCTTCTCGTCAGACGTGTCACTCCCCATTCAGTGGCAGCACCTTTGAAAGAGCGGTTCCCAGCTTGTCTCTGTTTGTATTACTCACAATCGTGAGTCACTTAGGCAACAGGCCACAAGCAAGAATAAAATAGTAATAAAAAAGTAATTGGAATGTCATCCCCAGATGAAGGAATATTCTGACTGCCATCTTGGTAGCTGAGAGCTGTGGTCATTTGTGACTTCTCAGGATGTAAAAATGCAGGAGGAAAGTACGTAAATTCCTCCGAATGTAAATTCCTGATGTCGTGACAGTAGCTATTGGAATAATCTTCAGAACAGCACCAATTGTGAGGACATATTAAAATTTGTTACGGTTTTTCACATCTTTCCTTGAAAAAAAGGGTTGCGTACGTTGTCTGCTCTTCATTTATTGCTGGGTGCCCGTAATGAAATGGGTAATTTCATAAGCACGTTTTGTCTCAACCTCTCTCTCTTCTAAAATGGAAGAAATGTGCTAAAAATAAATTTGCTAGGGCATAATTTCTAGTTTTCAGCCGTTTTATTATGAGAAAAGGTGGCCGCTGGCTAAGATGCAGTATGGTATTCAGAGTATGACCACTCTGACATGGGCTTCAGCATGTTCATCTTTAATGAATTTAGAGGTTTCTGTCAAGCACACGAGGGAGTGGTGATGCTCTTATTTTTATTGATGAGGTACTTCACATCGATTTAGAAACTGGTGAAAATACTTCTTTCTTTCTGTTTGCCTTCCTGCTTAATTTTTCCCCCTTTTCTGCCATCCGAGTCAAACATGAGTGCTCTGCTTTAAATAGCACTTCTCGCAAACACTTCACTTTCATTACCAGCTTGCAAGATAGGCAGTGGAAATAATTTGCTTCATAAAAAATAATTGCATCAAGATTAAGGTATCTGCGTACAATATCTTTTTCGTGCCAACCATCTGCAGCATCTTAACTTCCTTGCGTTGAGTAGTTCATCAATAACTGCATCGAGAGAATGAAAATACGCCGTGACCCAACTTACCCTGTCCTTGCTGCGGAATGGGGTGAGTTTGGGTGTCAGTGAAGACTGTAGAAACTTTTTTTAATGTGCTTTTACTGTAGCGATCGACGGAGTAAATGTGTGAGTCCATGCTATCTTAGATGTAATGATAGGACAAGGAGGGATGGCTTCAAACTGGAAGAGGGGAGATTTAGGTTAGATATTAGGAAGAAATTTTTCACCCTGAGGGTGGTGAGCCCCTGGCGCAGGCTGCCCCGAGAAGCTGTGGCTGCCCCATCCCTGGAGGTGTTCAAGGCCAGGTTGGACGGGGCTTGGAGCAACCTGGTCTGGTGGGAGGTGTCCCTGCCCATGGCAGGGGGGTTGGAACTCGATGATTGTGAAGGTCCCTTCCAACCTAAACCATTCTATGATTCTCTGAACTCATGATCCTCAACTCTGGCATGTGTGGGATGCAGTGTATCTGGGATGACCGTAGGACTGGATTTCTTTTGCTGATAATAATTCCCGACAAGGAATTCTGTTCTGATGGGAGTTGATAGCAATGACCAGTCCTACCAGCAAACTGGCTTCGCCCATTGACTCCTGCTAACGCTGGCTGTGCGATGCTGGCTGTGGCTGCAAAATGCCGAATATGGTGGATTTGCTAAAATACTGATGTTTGCAATAATTTCTAGCACATCATTTTATATGTGCGTTCCTTGTTGGTTAGATCTTTGTTGCCCTTTTCTGGACGTTGTTGTACTCAGTGTCAAGCTCTCGAGGAGGTAATTGCTGCAGAGGTGTGAAGTTCCGACTTTGCTTTATTTTCCGTTTGTTGTCGAGGTTCTTTATGGGCTGCCTCAATCATCGTTTGTCGATGTCACTCGTACAGGCTTAAAATGAATCTGTTTGGAATTCAAGATGATCAATATTTTATTTTGAAGGCTTTTTTTTTTTTTTTTTTTCTTATTTTTATCAAGTTCACATAAACACGTTGACAGATAAGTTTTAGCGCTGTATGGCCCGGCTGATTTTATTAGGAAGCTGAGTGCTTCTGAAAGTATTAAGCTAACTGGATCGCTGAGAAAGCAGACACTGGCGTGATGATTTAAAGCCTAAGCATCGCATGAAGTGATGGCTTTCAAATGTAATTCAGCAGAGTAAGGTTAGGTGGGGAGTCGTAACCAGAGCATTCATATGCATCAGTCTGAGTTTCTCTCTTTTATACTACTGATATGAAAAGTGTCACTGTCTATCACATCAGAGAGTTGCACAATCACACTCTTCAGTTTATTGGTTATAATAGCCTCTTTTTTTAATCGTTTTTAATTTAAAAATTGAGACTAAGCTTGGCTCCAGATCTTTTTGAAGCACACAGAGTCAGCAGGCTTTCAGGGGCTGTAAATTAACCCCCGGATCTCCAGTAACGACGGTTTGTTTCGAGAAACTCTGAACCTACAACCGTGGAGAGTGTAAGGGCAAATACATACGAAGGGTTTTCAAAGTTTTTTTGCCCTCAGATTCATTCAGAGCAACGAGCCAGAGTTGGGAAGTGAGATGTTGCACCGTTTGGGATGTGGGTCCCTAATTTCCACTAGGACAATTGAGACGCACCAAGCCCCAGATTAATTACCAGGACTTAATGACACCACCGCACACGTAATAAATGAAGAGTGAATTTTTGGAAGGCAAGTGGGTATTCTAGCGGAGATGATTCCTGGGAATAGATTTTACTAACTACATATGAAAACTAATTGCACTTACAAATTGAAGAGGAATACACATCTGATCTTCCTTAATTACATATTGCGGGAGGTGTCAAAGTATAAAAGTTACCAAAAGAGTCCAGTTGCTTTCTTCATCCTTCGCTGCTAACCAGCGCCTGTGTGGATCCTGAAAGCGCCGGTGTTACGGGGCTGCGGACTAACGTCTCCCGTTGGAGCAAGGGAACGCGCGGGACCGATACCGAAGCCCTTACGTTGTGGAATATGGAACAGCCTGAGTGATGTCTGTTGTAACATTTGTTTGGTGGGGATTTTGTTGTTGTTGTTGTTGTTGTTTATTTGTTGCAGCTGGCATTTGAAAGGCACTTGGCTCTTGAGGGTAATAATCATCTTACATATGCTTTATAGAGTATGTTTATTACCAGACAATTGAAGAACAGATGTCTGCAGTCTTGAGGCTTCAGGGGGAGGGGCAGGAGGGACCGGAGATGGAGGGGATGATGGCGTTTGGAATCGTGAAAGCATGGCTGGTGCTAGCTCGGTTGAATGTTGTTTGGCTATTGGGTGTTAAGGTCACGAGGGTATCCATTTATTAATGTCAGCCACACTTCATTAAGATCAAGCAGCAATTAAAAAGGTTGTAGGATGGAAGAGAAAACAGAGTGTTCATTGATTCGCTTCTAAGCAAGATCGTGTCCTTGCGAAGAAGTGGACCATAGAGGCTACATTGACTCAGCACCATTACCCCTCTACTGACCGGGCAGTGTCTGTCCTGCAGCATCCTGGCTGGGAAGAAGCGCTCTAATCACTGCCTTCCATTCCAAAGTCTTGAGAGTAAGAAAGAGAAAAACAAAGTGTTGATTTATCAGAGTACCACAAAAAAAAAAAAAAAAAAAAGAAAAAAAAAAGGCAGACGTACTGATTTGGCTCTGCTGGTGTTGTTTGAGATGCAAAGACTAAAGTTTCCCGCTGCGGTGTGCGCGTGGTCCCAAGGCACGGCAGTGTTTGCTGGTTCTTGGTATTTCAGGTTGGTCGGAGTGGGGGGGAACGAGCAGGTAATGATTTGCCATTTTAATTTAATAGTTAAGTGATTATGTTAATTTATACTGGTCTCCGTCATTTGAAGCAGTCGCTTTTTACTTGATAGCATTTTTGGAATTTCCTGTTTCTCTTCCAGTTTTGTTAATGCTAAGGAAAGAGTGATTGCTCTTTTAAGAAATAAAATAAATGCTTTCGGGACTAATCAAGGAGGCTAGCAATTTAGTTTTGCTGCCTGTTGATAGCAGCGTGTTCCTCACCAACTGGTGGCAATCAGCTCTGAGCTGCTGAAGGTCAAGTTTCAGACCCCACTGGTAACCTGTCCTTGGGAGGGAGGTACACAACGTCCAGAGTAGCTACATCCACGCAGGGATGGTTTAGCTTTCCATGCTTTGGGAATAATCATGTCAAGCTTCTATTTAATTCAGGATATGGCAAGACAAAAGGTACTGTACGTAGAATTTAAATCCACTGTTTCTCTTTGAAATGTTGGGAGGGGATGGCAGAGTTGTCCTCGGTTCCTGTGGAACATCTGAGTCCTTTGGGCTTTGCGAGCATCAACTGCCGCTGCAGCT